TAAACTGTATATTTACAAAATGTACAGACGAACAAGTTTTGACATATGTATGTACTCATGAAGCCATTGCCACAATCAAGATAATGAACATATTCTTCAAAATTGAGCTGAAGAATCCTGCTTCTTTTTTTCTTTTCCTTTTCCTTTTTTTTTCATAGAGACAGAGTCTTGCTCTGTTGCCCAGGCTGGAGTACAGTGGCACAATCATCGCTCACTGCAACCTCGAACTCCTGGGCTCAGGTGATCCTTCTGTCTCAGCCCGAGTGGGAATTATTATTACAATAGAGATGAGGTCTCGCTATGTTGCCTAGGCTGGTCTTGAACTCCTGGGCTCCAGCGATCCTCCCACCTCAGCCTCCCAAAGTGCTGGGATTGCAGATGTGAGCCACCATGCCTGACAGAGTCCTGTTTTATACTCCCGTTTCACATTCAATACTTATTCTCTGCCAGGCCTTGTGCTACCTGGGAAGAAAACATAGACGCACCCTATACAACATCTTCCCTGGGAGAACTGGTTACAGGACGCAGTTGGGACATGAAGGCGGCGATTCTTCCATGGAGGGTGCTGGGGTGGGGATGGGGTGGGGAAGAAAGGAAGAACTAGGGAAAGCTGGTCAGGGGAGATGAGGTTTGACTGATCTTAACAGATAGAGGCACTTATAAGGTGCTGTGAGCTAAATGTTTGGGTCCCCCCAGATTTGTATATTAAACCTTGTTGTCCAGTATGGTGTTATTAGGGGATGAAGCCTTTAGGAGGTAATTAGGTCATGAGGGTGGAGCCCTCATGAATGAGATTAATGCCCTTATAAGAGAGGCCCCAGAGAGATCCCGCGCCCCTTCCAACACGTGAGGTTACAGTGAGCAGACGGCCCTCCAGGCGGAAGCGGGTCCTCACCAGACACCGAATCTGCTGGCGGCTTCCTCTTGGACTCCCCAGCCTCCAGAGCTGTGAGAAATAGTTTCTGTTGTTTGTAAGGCACTCAGTCTATGGTTTGTTTTAGCAGCTCAAGCAGACTAAAACATTAGGCCTTTGAAGGAAAATGTGAGCCAAGCCATGGAGGCATGAAAGGTGGTATGTTTATCACAGTCAGATCAACATCTTACAAAGTTTAGGTTGGGCACGGTATCTCACACCTGCAATCCCAGCACTTTGGGAGGCCGAGGCAGGAGGATTGCCTGAGCCCAGGAGTTCGAGGCCAGCCTGGGCAACATAGTGAGTGAGACGTCGTCCTTACAAAAAATTTTAAAAATCAGCTAGGCATGGTGGTGTGCACCTGTGAGCCCAGGACGTCAAGGATCCAGTGAGCTGTGATCATGCCACTGCACACCAGTCTGGGCAACAGAGTGAGACACCAACTAAAAAAAAAAAAATCACCTCAGATAACGCAACAGACCCTGGTGAGGGCAGCAGTTGTCAATCACTCCAGTTTTTGTGCGTCATGTTTGCTGTTTAAAATGAGCCTCTCATGACCTGCCTGGGCAGCGAGACCTCATCTCTACAATAAATAAAAAAAAAAAATCAGCTGGGCATGGTAGCGCATGCCTGTAATTCCGGCTACTCGGAAGGCTGAGGTGGAAGGATCGCCGGAGCCCAGCAGGTTGAGGCTTCGGTGGCCGGGAGCGGCCACTGCACTCCAGTCTGGGTGACAGAGTGAGACTCCAACTCAAAAAAATAAATAAAATAAAATAAAATAAAATGAGCCTCACTGCTGTCAGCATCATCAAAAGTCCCAAACACAAGAAAGAACACCCTTTATCAAAGACACTTTATTGCATTACCTCTCACAATTAGCAGTCAAGAACAATAATAATAATAATAAAATAACTTGCAAGATGAATCAGACATCAGACATATACAAGGACATTATTAACATTTTAACAGCCTGTACTGCATATGGCTGCCTCCATTGTGTGTGTGTGTGTGTGTGTGTGTGTGTGTGTGTGTGTGTTTATTGGTGGCCACAGCAAAGTCTCTGTCACTAGAGAAGGCTGAGGTCCCACTAAAGTCCCCTCTGGAGCCAGCCTCACGAGGCTGGATGTCTGAACTCCTGGGCGCAGGCTCCCTTGCTCACCCTAAGCCAAACAGAATGTCTGCAGCTTCCAAGCAACCTAAAGCTCTTACTCCTGGGCGTTTTGCTTTACACCTTTTCCTAGACTCAGTCTGGGGGAAGGCATAAGTTAGAGGAAGAGCCCATTTGCTCATCAAGAAGGGGGAGCCAAGGAAGAAGGTGGACTCTGGGTACCTCTTCCTTATCCATCCTCATGCCCAGCTCCCTTGACTCTCTTCCTCCTATCCCAGTCATGTTTTTTTTCCTCTCTGCCCCATCCTACCCACTAGCATTTTGGAAACTCTAGAATGGACCCCATGCCGGATATTTCTAGTCTAGGCCTCCTAATGAACATTTAAAAGCTCCTAGATTGCCAGTCACTCCTCCTGGAAAAGCTGAGAGATATGTCTCTTCCCTGTCTTCTTGTATGAGGCCAGTTTGCAACCTCCTGGCAGTTCAAGGGTCACCAAAATCCCTACATTGGAGGAACAGAAGTAGTATCCCAAAATAAGTCTAAGTGGTATCACTGAGAGTGCTTTCAACAGCAAATAACAGAAAAAAAACTACTCAAACTGGCCTTCTGGCAGAGGAAAGTCTGGAAGCTTCAGGTATGGTTTGATCAAGGCACCAGGTCCATTTCTCTGTGGTTGCCTTGGCAAGAAGGGACCCAAAATGCTTGGCTGCTTCATCATAAGGGAGGAGTGAACCTTTAAAGATAGGCTGTGGTCTCATTCCCGGGACCTCCACAGTTGATGTGCAAGCGTCTCCCAGGAGAATTGGGCCACTTCTCTGTTAGGCAGTCAACTCAAGAGCAATATTCTCCCAGGAATGAGCAAGTCTGAGGAGCTTTCCTCTAGATAACTAGAAATAGTTATTGTTGCCCTACCAGGGGCAAGGAGAACCACTGTTGTCTTAGTACTTGGTACCGATTGGAGAAAATCAAGTAGCTTACAAGGGCCAACAGCATCTGCATACATTTAATTTGACAGATACAAGCAATCTGTGTTCGCTGCAAACGTTCACAGTTTCCATTCAGAGAAGCCGGCAGGTGTCAGAAGGAAGAGAAACCCCAGAGGCCATGTCTTCACTGGTGCCTACTTCTCCATCAGTCTTTCTCAACGCTCCAACAATAGCTTGTACACCGGGTTGGGGGTCACGGTGGGTTCCCCATTTTTACCATTCTAGACAGAAAAGAGAGGGACAGATATGGCTCTTAGAGAAGAAATTCCCCAACAGAAACATGGGAGAAAACGTAGATCCACTCAGTGTCCGCGTGACTCTGATGAACATCCACCGTCTTCCACTTTCTCCCTCACCGTCGCCATCACTTCTCTCCTCGCCTCCCTCCCGTTCCCCTCTCTTCCCTGGCTCCACTTCTCTTCCTTTTTTCCATCTCAGTCATCTTGTTGCCCTTCCCCCAGGAGTGTCTTACAGGCATCCTCATTTTTTTTTTTTAGGTTGGAGTCTCACTCTGTCGCCCAGACTGGAGTGCAGTGGCACACTCCCGGCCATCGCAGCCTCGACCTGCTGGGCTCCGCGATCCTTCTGCCTCAGCCTTCCAAGTAGCCAGAACTACAGGTGCACGCTACCATGCCCGGCTAATTTTTCATTTGTTTATTTATTGTAGAGATGAGGTCTCACCAAATTGCCCAGGCGGGTCTCGAACCCGCAGGCTCAGGCAATCCACTCGCCTTGGCCTCCCAAAGTGCTGGGATTAGAGACTGAGCCACCAAGTCTGACCAGGCGTCTTCCTTTCAACACTTCATTCCAGTCACGCTCAGCAGTGCCAGTTGTGATTATACAATATGAACCCAGTGGTACAAGCTATTCCCCCTCAAAATCGTACCCAAGGGAAATAAAATCTTACCAGCCTAGTTTGCCTTATCACTTTATTTATGTTTTATTTTTTAAAATTAGGGTCTTGCTCTGTCACCGAGACTGGAGTGCAGTGGCAACATTACAGCTTGCTGAGCCCTCCAATTCCTGGATCCCACCTCAGCCTTGCAAGTAACGAGGACCACAGGTATGCATCAGCGGGCCTGGCTAATCTTTTAAATATTTTGTAGAGACGGGGCTTGGCCTCCAACTTCTGGCCTCAAGCAATCCTCCTGCTTTGGTCTCCCAGAATGCTGGGATTACAGGCATGAGTCACTACCCCTAGCCTACTGTATTTCTCTAGAAATTAATTGAGTTGCCTTGAGACCTGGGGAAGGAAAGGAGACTCTGGTGGAGAGGGTCCCACAGATCCGTGTTTACAGCCAATGTCCTTCCCTGGGCCCAGCCAAGGACCTAGGTCCTTAAGCAGCCTGGGAAGTGTCATCACAATCCTGGTCATATCCACACAGATGTTGATAATCTAAAGAGAATTTAACAGTATCTAAATTAAGCCAAGCTTTTTACAGATGAGAAATCAGAATGCCAGAAAACTTAAGTGATCTATCTACAATCACATCAATGGTCAGGTTTATGGACAAAGTGATAACTATTTACAGTAGCAGGAACCTTCTTCTTTGATCTTTCTCTTTCAGTTTAAAAAATAGTGGGGTTTGGTGGTTCATACATGTAATCTCAGTACCTTGGGAGGCTGAGGTGGGAGAACTGCTTGAGCCCAGGAATTCGAGACCAGCCTGGGCAACATGGTGGGACTTCATCTCTACAAAAAATCAAAAATTTAACTGGGTGTGGTGGCGCATGCCTGTAGTCCCAGCTACTTGAGAGACTGAGACAGGAGAACGGGCTGAGCCCAGGAAGTCGAGGCTGTGGGGCCTTGATCATGCCACTGCACACCAGCCTGGGTGACAGAGTGAGACTCCAACTCAAAAGACAGAGAGAGAGAGAGAGAGAGAGAGAGAAAGACTGTGGGGCAGCCATGGAGTGAGGCTACAATGGTAAGTCCGTCCCTGCTCTGGAGCATTTCACTGTGAAAAGCCCAGCCAAAGTCCACTGACTCACCTAATAGTCAGGGCGGGGCATACCCCCTCTGTGGTTCAAGTAGGGATTCTGTGGCTGGATGTTTTGGGGCTCCGCTACCCTGATTTTCGGGAAGATGCTCCCCTCTGCTCCAGGATTGCTGAAGCCAGTCTGCTGCAGTCTCAAGTTGTTAAAGTCTTCTTCAATCAAGTTCTGTTCTTCAATATCCTTATTTTTGTTCTTTGATCTGTAATCAGTAACAGGAATTAGGATCTGACAATGGCGGAAAGTTCCTTGAAGTAAATGTTAATGTTCTTTTTAAAAATGTTTTTAAGCCAGGTGCAGTGACTCACACCTGTTAATCCCAGCACGTTGGGAGGCTGAGGCGGGAGGATTGCTTGAGGCCAGGAGTTTGAGACCAACCTGGGCAACAAAGTGAGGCCTCGTCTCTACAAAAAATGGAAAAATTAGCCGGGCATGGTGGTATGCACCTGTAGTCTTAACTACTTAGTATGATGAGGGAGGAGAATTGCTTGAGCCCAGGATTTTGAGGCTGTGGTGAACTGTGATCAAGCCACTGCATCTCCGCCTGGGTGAAAGTGAAACCCTGTCTAAAAAAAAAAAGGTTTTTAACTTTTTAAAATAATTTCAAACTTATATGTAAGTTATAAAAATCATATATAACCCAAAGTCTCCACACAACCGTCACCCACATTCCCCAAGTATTAATATTTCTGAACCAGCTAAGAATAAGGTGCAGACCTGATGCTCCATTATTCATAATACTTTATTATCTTATTCAGTGTATTAATTTATTCAGTGTGGTTTTCCTAAGTTTAAGGACCATCTCCTCATGAGCTCTGTCCTCGTAACCGCAAAACCAGAATGTTAATGCTCATCCCACATGACTAATTCCATGAACCTCATTCGAATTTTGCTTATAATGTTATTATTTTTAAGTGATATTTTGAATTAGTTAGGGAAATGATAATAGAAGTTGAAGAGAGGAGACGATTTGTGATACAATTTTTCATTCAAGCAAAGTCGACATCTACAGAATCGCCTCTGTGAGTAAAATGAGTTCAAGGTTTCAAGGTCTTGAAAGGAGAGATGAAGGTTTCCTGGAATCAGCTGTGCCTGCTTAAGGATCACAAGTGTAAGTATTCAAAGCCCGGTGAAAGTACTTGCAGGTGTGGGAGGCAACTGCCCCCACCATCCTCCAT